GGCTACTGTGTGAAATAATAGGGCATGGGTCGGGCTGTCGCAGCTATTGTTCTCCCTTCCCCGGAGGTTTCCGGTGCCGAAGTTTGTTGTGATGAGATTTTTTTCCCCCTCGGGTAGGAGCCAGCCTAAACCCATACAAGTACTGGTACAAAGGAAAGAAAAAAATCGGAAAGGTCCAACGTGCTCGGCGGAACTGGCACCTGCGCGAAAGATTTGTTCGTGACCTCGCGAAAATACGGGTATGATGAAGAGTGGAAGATTTTCTGGGAATGATGACGTGTAACACCCGGGGAGGAAGAAGAAAAAGAGAAGAAGCCAGACCCAATTGAGACGGGAAAGAAACGCTGTATAAACGCTTGTCGATATGGGGTGCTGGTCCGCCTCCTATGGGGGTGGTGGTCAGATGCTGGTGAATCTCTCCTTTTCGCGGCACGAGAGGAAGAGAGACACCCTGCCTGTATGCAGAAAATGGTGTATGCAAGGACAGGCATTCAGCCTGTGGTTATGAGGGGAGTGTGTATAAAATTTCCAAGACCGGGGTTGATTGTCCTTCAATGGCGCATCTCATTAAACAATTGGGAAGTCAAAGCTCTTGGTGGGTTCATGGGCTTACAGTAACTACAGTATCGGTACTCGGGTATTGGCGGCGGCCACCAAATGTTCCAGGAGCGGCATGCTGGTACCTGTACTGTACAGTCGACCCGACAGCGGCATTGCCCAATCGAATCCTGTGCGACATGGCCCACGCAGTGCAGCCGAGTCGTTCACAGCACCGGCAGGGTGGTTCCGGTACTCGTGTACTGTACAGTACTGTGGCGTGCTATTGGTACAGCTATTGATCCCAACCCGATCCCACTTCGCCAAAACACGCGGTAGCTGTTTACACTTTCCGTCCATTTACAAGTACTGTGAGGTCTTCTCTCGCCTCTGCGTTCTTTTGTGGGATTGACAAACACTTGGGTGTTCTCGGGTTCAGCTCACACCGCAGGTCCTGAGAATCGGCTCAAGAAGGAGTAGAAAGATACTTCACGAGTAACGATGAAGTTGAAATCAATAGGGAAGATCCAGAAGGAACACGAAACAACCTCGTTCCACGGTGAATCTCTGGAAACAGATTGGCCTATAGAAAAGGACCATCTATTCTTCTGTGAAGGTGAATGTGTAAAATCTAGGAAAACAATCGCTATCACGCCCTCCCTCATCCTTCTTATTTTTCCTACCCCCCTTTTCCAATTTCCCAACCTGTACTAGCTAGATTGCCTTGCTTCGTCATGCTCAGAAAAATCAAAACTACTATCTAGCAAACACGGTTCTTAGGCAACCGTTACCATCATCCCTAATTATGCCCTGACAGTACGTGGACTGTACCAGTACTAGTACTCGTGCTGTACTTGTGCACTCAATCCTGCTTAGGGCGCTGCCAAAAAAAAATTCAGCACAGCACAGCACCAGGTTTCTGCAAAGTATGCTCGCCAAGAACGCGAATGGGGTTTGATGGTCATGGACGTTGATTGGCTGATAGCAGTTTTCCTATTGGGAGACATATTTGGCAAGGCGGAGCTAGGGATGGCAAAATAATGGGCTGTGACGCTCGTGTGTCCGTAGAAATCCACTTCGATACGTCGGTTTGTTTCAGAGGGTCTCCCGATTTTTGCGCACACAATCTAGCACGATCACCTTGGCGTGCTGCAAAGTGGGTTAGGGTCAAATACTAAAGCACTATTTACGGCTCTATGGAACCCCTTCGCTCCTATGATAGTAGTAAATTTACTACGGGTATGCTAATTTTTACTTGTGGCTTAGCTAGTAGCATACCAAGTGTGCTCGAGTGTGGTGCACTGCTGCAGCTTACCGCTTAAGCGCGACGTGGGTGCTAGCCTAGACTCGCTTCATTGCAAAAAGGGAGTTGCAACAACCAAATTGCACTTACTTGCTTCAAAACCCATGCAGGGAACGAAATTTGATCCATACTAAAAATGGTGGCATGGGGACAGGGTGGCCGGAGTAATGGCTGACTTGCAGTTGCGCGGACCCCGACTAGGCATCCGGCTGGCTTTCTTTTTTGTAAGCGCCAGCGTTTTGGAGCCCCACTCACGGAGAACTTGGAAAAAAAAACATTGCTCTCCAAAGAAACCCTCTATAACTAGTGACTATTTTCCACCGGATCTTTGAATCCACGGTCGCAAAGCACAAGCCAAAAGAATCTGAACCATAAGGGCCCACCCACCTCAAGAGCGAACCCCAACCTCTATTCCCTGTTTTTACTCCTAAAATTAGCAATCTATCATACCCACAACTTTACACATCCCCTCTTAGTTCTGCAACATCTGCGAGACGGGAAATGGCAGAGGCCAGTCTTATTGCCAGTTTCGGGACTATCGTTGATCTCAGCGTGAGGGCCATCATTCTTTGTAATGACTATTGCCGTGCAGTCAAGGAGTTTAAGCAAGATTTCGAGAAACTGCGAGATGAGATCGATGATATTGGCCAAAAACTGGGGAAAATAAAAAGCCTTGCTGAACAAGGCGATCAGAACAACCGGCCATACCCGGAGCTTGTTGAATGGGCGGGCGACAAAAGATTGAAGGATTATGAGGGAGCCTTGAAGGAGCTGTTGAAAAAGTTGGATGTTTCAGGATGGAGAAAATACTTGCGAAAATATCTTTGGCCTCTACGTAAACCCAAAATGGACCGCTACCTGCTCTTGATTGGAGAGCGGAAATTGGAACTTAGTTTGTTATTGAACATAACCATAACGTAGGTTATCCATTCTTCAACCCCCTCATAATCTAGCTTCTCCACTTCCTTTTGGTTTGGTGGCAAGGTTAACCAGTTGCTTAGGGAGAATACAACTGAGACGTTGCGCATGCTGGATGGTACTTTGTCACATCACTCCTAACCCTACCAATAATGTTCTTTACTAACATCGGATATCGAAGTTCAACTACCGTTGACTACGGCCACAATGTAGGTTATCAATTCTTTAGTTCCTTGAAAAAAAATTTGCTTCTCCACTTCCTTTCTGTTTAGTGTCAAGGCTAACTAGTTGTTTAGGGAGAACACAAATAAGGTGTTGCGAATACTAGATGGTACTTGGTCACATTACCCCCAACCCTGCCAATGGTGTTCTTTGCTAATATCAGGTATTCATAAAATCCCAGTGGATAAATACCAGAAAGTACAGACATGGCTGAACCGCGTTGATCCAGCCCGCAATTATTCATCTGCGCTTAAGGTCCGTGAACCCGGCACGGGAAAATGGCTGCTCCATCGAGATGAGTACATGAAGTGGAAGGAAGGTGGAGGAGGGGTCCTCTGGCTTCATGGTATACGTAAGTCTACAGAGTAGAGACGGGTGAAATCTGGTGCTTCAAAGAATGTCATTAACGTTTGTGCCTTATAGCCGGATGTGGCAAAAGCGTCCTAAGGTACGAGCTCAACTGGGCATTCAGAGGTGTATAATGGTTTTCTGATTGCTGACCTTCCCTATAGCGCCACTGCCATCGAAGATGTCCAGGAACTGTGCCACACGAACGATGATTATGCAATAGCTTATTTCTACTTCACGTTCAGCGACTCTGAGAAGCAGAATTTGCACAATATGCTTCTATCCCTGATTGGCCAACTACCAAAAAGTCCTTCAGAACTGGGTTTGCCGCTCGAAGTCGTATACCTGTACGATAGCACCCAGGCAATTGGAAAGGAGGCAGGTACTGAGTCTCTGAAAGGTTTGTTGTCAAAGGTTATAAGTGGTTTTAAGAAAACGTTTATCATTCTCGATGCCTTGGATGAATTTCCTAAGGAGAGCCGTGATGAACTCCACAAGGACACACGTGCGAGTCTTCTATCGTGGATTGGCAAGCTGATGGATGGTCCTATTGCGAGATCACTTTCCCTTCTCGTCACTAGCCGTCCCGAGGTTGATATTGAGGAATCCCTAAAACCACTTAACCTTTTTCCAATATCATTAAAATCTGAAACTATTGATGCGGATATCCGGTCATATGTACAGAAATCTCTAGAAAGCAAGCCTGGGTTCAAGAATTTTCCCAAAGATACCAAGAGTCAGATAGAGGGAACTCTGGTCACGCGCTCACAAGGAATGTGTGTTATACTTCGCCTTTGGATTTTTAACTTACGCTAATTCAAGGCTGGATATGTCAAGGTTCAGATGGGTTGATTGTATATTGCGGCTTCTACAACAATGCGTAACAGCAGAAGACGCGATAGAATCGTTAAAGGAACTGCCGGAAGATTTAGGTTCTGTCTACTTGAGGATCCTGGATAACATTCCGGACAAGCAGAAGGAATACGTTCGGCGAGCAATGAATTGGCTTGCATTTTCGGAAGTTCCATTGACATTAGGCCAGCTTTCGGAGGCCGCTGTGATCAAATACGATGTCAATCAATACGGTCTCCACTCGAACAAACTTTTTAACCGGAGTTCCCTCATAAGCATTTGCCCAAGCCTTATTTCATTCGAAGATGCCAGGACCGGCGAATCCTCGATCCAGGAAGACCGCCGATTACGACTAGCACATTTCTCGGTAAAGGAATATTTGATCGCCGACAGCACAGCTCAGGGCCCCGGTGCCTACTTTCATATTTCGGAGGAGAAAGCCAATTTACTGATGGGGCACGCTTGTCTCAGTCAAATACTGGGACACAGTGCACAAGGTACTATAAGTGAGAGAAAGGTCGAAAGAGAGTCGTTTCTCTACCACAGTGCTCGTTATTGGTTTGTGTATACTAGATCTATTGAGGATACGGCACCCATACCACTCTCCCAGGCGGCGGTGAAGGTCCTCGAGCTTGGCAAGGAGTGGCTCGATATATATAACCCTGACAACCTTCGTGAGGATCCCATCTACGGCTACCCACCAGCAATCTACTATTCCTCCTTGTTAAATTTAGTGACGGCCTCTGAATTCCTAGTCGATGGGAGACCGGACATAGTAAACGTACATGCTCAGGGTAGCAAGTATGCGAACCCACTACAAGCAGCTTCATATCAGGGAAACGAATCAGTTGTGCAGCTTCTCGTCAAGTGTGGGGCAGATGTGAATGCTCAGGGTGGCTATTATGGCAATGCGCTACAAGCAGCTGCATATCAGGGAACCGAATCGATTGTGCGGCTTCTCCTCGAGCGTGAGGCAGAGGTGAATGCTC